GAGGGTTAGACCTGTTGTTAGTCAGAAGGAAATCCACAAGCCGTTAGTTTCTGCTGAAAGGAACAGACCAGGAGGGCAGGAGTTAGTTGAGGTGAAGGAGAGGTTAATTAAGAGCCGGTCAGAGCCAGGCCAAGAGCCTGGAGCCCCCAGATGGGCAGGGTTGGCTGTTAGGGGTCAGCCCCCCAGGGGGCAGCCAGGGCAAGGCAGGGCGTAGCTGGGGGAGAGCAAGAGTTAGTGCAAGGGAGCCAGAGATTAGCCCAAAGAGACCAAGGTGCCTACTGGAGGTGAGGCGTAATATCACCCCCAGGTGTGGCCCCGGCGTAGCGGCTGGCGGGCTCTGGGTGAGGCAGGCTGGGGCCAGGGTGTGGGTAAGACACAGGGAGCCAGGGGAGCTCCTGGCTGGCCTGAGGGATTGCAGAACCTGGTGGGGCCCTGGGGCTCACTTCTCGCTTCTCACACTTTCCTCCTGCAAACCCCAAGCCTGGGGTAGAACTGCTTTCTCCCCTGCTTTCTGAAGCTTCTGGGCATGGACAGTCCTTCCGGTAAGAGACATGGCCCATAGCTCCTTCCAGTGTGGGTGATCCCAGCCTCAGGGATGGGGAGGCCCCTCTAGCCTCCTTCCTGTCGGACCACCCCTCTCCCTGACCTTGGCCATTCCCCTCACCGCCTTGTGAGAAGGCTGGAACCCCCCTCGCTGCCTTCTGGTGCAAAAAATGCCCCTTTTCCCATCCTTCAAAGATGGGACGTGCCCCCTCTGGCTGACTTCCTGCACGAGAGGCCCCACTCAGTGATTTCCAGGGCGGGAAAAGCCCTTTCATTGGTGCCCAGTGCGGGGAAGTCTTGTTGACCGGCCTCTCGTGTGGGACGAGCCCCTTTGCTGACCTCTGGTGGGGGACACCCGCCCCCGACTTCGTGGGCCACACCACGCGCCCCACTTTCCAAGGGGAGAAAGTCTACCTCTGCTCCCTGCAAAGGACGCACAGCCCCCTCCTCTCTGCTCCCGTGGCTGGGAGAGCCCAGGGCTCCACACTCTAGACCCACAGGCCTCCACACTCACACCCCGAGGATGCCCTGGTCCCACCCGGTCCCAGTGGCAACCAGACATCTGCACAGGAGGGTCTCCTGCTCAGGGGCAGCCTGCCCTGTCCACCTCCTCCGGGCCGCTGCTACGGCAAGAGGGCTGTCCCCCGCCTCTGTCCTGGCCCAGCGGACTCGGAACTCGGCCAACTGGGGCGGCCACGCGGAGCGTCTGTCTGCAGGGCCAGCCCCCGACATCTGCTTGCCAAAAGGAGGGAGGACCAGCCCCAGGGGCCCAGAGCTCGGCAGGGCTGGGTTAGTGGAAGAGAAAACAGGGTTAGTAGGGGCTGGGTTAGTAAGTCAGAGCACAGCGCCAGCACAGGGTCACCTCAGCAGACACACACGGGAGTCACTAGGAGAGAAGGAAGAACACACGCAGGTCCGTTAGTGTGTTAAGGGACGGTCGGGGTGCGCGTGAGGCACCCCCGGGTTAGGCAGGTTAGTAATCGGGCAAAGGAGCTGCCTACAGAAAAGAAAGCTGAGAGGAAGAATGGGGGGAAGAGACGGTTAGGGGTTCAAGCGAGTGTGGGGCCCCAGGCAGCAGGGTCTGTGTGCAGAACTCCCAGAGGGACCAGGGCCTGGGCAGGGCGGTGACGGACCAGGTTTTCTGGGCCTCCTGATCCCACCCTAACCCTTTTTTTTCCCAAGTATCTGCCATTTGTCAAGACCTTGATATTCATGGGACCCCCCCCACCCCCGCTGAACCCTGTGAGGTAGGGATCAGCACCCCGTGCTTCTGCGGAGGAAAGGGTTCAGAGAAGTAAGCTGACCGCTCCACGTCACCCGGCAGGAAGTGGCAGAAGGCGCGTCCCCTCGCGCCCTGCCCTGGAGTGTGGGTCTGCACAGAGACCTCAGGCCATGGCGGGGCCTCTGGAGCCTCGTCTGCCCCACGTCCCAGCCCCTTTCAAGGCCCTTGAGCTGCAAGGTTAGTGGGGTCTGGCTGCGGGGAGTTAGTAGGGCATGCTCGGGCCTGGTTAGTGGGTTAGTTGGTTGGCAGAAGGCCAGGCACCTGTCGCGCGCCACAGCATCCCGGCCGAGCCCTGGGTTAGTAGGTTAATGCCACCATGCAACGCTGCTCGGCCCTCCAGCTGCAGCTCGGGGGGCCTCCCGCCCCCACCAGCTAGGGAGTGGGCCTGACCAGGGCAGGGGGTCTGCTCCCAGCCCCTCGGCCTCACCAGAACCAAACCTATCCACGTGGACCCTACCCAGAAGCATTTTGCACCCCAATTTCTTGTCTGTGGGCCTCAGAGACCCACCAAACGTTTCAGTTCCCCTGAAATAGACCCTGCAGAAACCCCCTGCCTGGTTCTGGTCAGCCCCTTCCCAGAGGGCTGGATCCTGTCACACTGACGCACGCACACACACACGCACACATGCACACACCAGCATCTTCCCACAAGAGGTCCCCTGCCCCAGAACCACCGTGTCCAGTGGACTTCACTTCGGATCACCAACCGCCAGGCCTCTGGCTGCTCCAACCACTAGCCTGCCTCCTCCTCCTCCTCGCCAAACTGCACAGAGCTCAGGACGCCCAGAAGCAAGGTCGGACTTCCCCACCCCTCGGGCTCCGCGGCCTTTCAGCCCATGCCGCAAAGCCCGTGTGCACCAGGCCCTCTCCTCACTGCGGTAGTTTTCCCACAGAAGCCCCAGCGCTTCCCAGTTCTAAATGATGCTCTGTGAAAAACCGAAAAACACTCTGTCCAGTGGAGTTTGGGGTAAACACCTCATCCTCTGTCTGTCTTGAGGATTCACAGTTCCCATCAGCACTTTAAAGGCTCTGATAAGTCCTGCACTGCAAAAAACTGCTGAATTTGAACTCGCTCTTTTTTAAAGAGCGGTGACATCTGGAACTCACTTTGATCTCTGTTCTAATTCTGCCCCACCCTCCCACCCCCCCTGGAAGCTCTCAGCTAAACCCTCAATCTTCAAGGCCCTGCTTGGGTCAGCCCTGCTGGGAAGTCAGTCCAGACTGCTACAGCCCACTCTGGGGTCTCACGCCCACACCCCAAGCTCTCGGAACCTGGGCCTGAGTGGACTGGTTTCTGCCCCATTCTCCAGTTCTCTGTGGGGAGCTGGTTTTCTCCCCGTCGGCGTAGTTGATATTCTGAAGGTTGGAACCACGCCCCCAAGAGGCTAACACAGAGAAGGACTCACAGTAGATGCACAATACTGACGCAGTAGAATGTATGCACCCTAGGAAGCTTTGGGGCTACTGTGGGGGCCATGAAATGCAGCCACTTCCCCAGGCTGCTTACAGAGGGACTTTGACACCATGAGCAGGGACAGGCGAGTCAGAACTGCCTCTGGACCTGAACAGCTGAGCTTGCAGTTCAGGGCACCGAAAACAGGCAAGTCCAGATGGACCGGAGCGTTTAGTGAGCACCTACTAAGAATCAGTAGGTGCATGCCCTGATTCCCTGGACCCCCCTCGAGCCCTCAAAGGGAGCAGACGGGCGTTGCAGTCTGCAAATCGGACTCACAGAGGTGAGGTGACGTGCCCAGGGCTGTACAACAGAGCACAGCCCCAGTCCAAGCCCAGGCTCTTCCCAGGACACCCCTCTCCTGGGGGCTCCTCCTCACTGCCCTGGGCCCAGCCAGCGCTGGGTGTCCCCAAGGCACCCGGGCCACCCTAGGACAGTGCCCCCCACACTCCGTTACTACCCCCCACTTTTGTTCCTCCTCCCCTTCCCTGTGGGGTGGGGATCGTGAAGAGGAGACGGCCCAGATTTCCATGTTTGTGGTGACCCCGTTACGGACTGAACTGTGTTCCTCCCCAAATTCATAGGTTTAAGCCATAACCCCCCGTGCGAGACTATATTTGGAGATGGGGCCTTTAAAGAGGTAAATTAAGGCTCAATACGGTCATAATGTCAGGGCCCTAATCCAATAGGACTGGTGTCCTTAGAGCAGGAGGAAGGACACCAGGTCTGTCCTGCCCACCCCACCCCCACTCCAGGATGTGCAGAGGGAAAAGGCAGGTGACAACACCCAGGAGGTGGTGGTCTGCAAGCCGAGGAGGGGGCCTCAGGAGAACCCAGCCCTGGCACCTTGACCTTGGACGTGCAGCTCCGGGAACCGTGAGGAAGGGCACTTCTGCTGCTTGAGCCCCCGGAACCCCGACTGTGGCATTCCGTAACGGCAGCTCCCGCTGACCGACCTGGGGCCCCTCCCCACCTGGGAAGCAAGGTCTAGTTTTAAACCTGCCGGAGGGAGGCCCACGCTGGTCAGTGCAAACGCTGGAACCAGGGCTGGGTGGATGGAGAACGGCCAGGTGGGCGTAACTGAACCTGGGCCCCACACTGGCAGAATCAAGGGTCGTTACAACCAGGAGTAGGGGTCTGAGATCTGGCCCGTTCCCTTTGGATGGTGGGAACAAGGCCCAGTGTCTGTCTCCTTCCAGCGAGCCCCCTGGCCTGGGTCTCCTCCTCTCTTGGAAACAACCCTCCCCTTCCGGGACAGCACACCCATACCCCCTCCCCACCCCCCACCCCACCCTATCCCCCCACCCCCCACCCCCCCACACACGCACACAGTTGTCTATCCCAGAGCCCAACAACGGGGGAAAGTCCCAGGCTCCTCCCAGACCCTGACTGCCTCCTCCCAGCGACCATCAGAAAGAGGAAGCACAGGGAACCCCCTCCAGACAGCACCCCTCGAAGTGAGCATCACTCACAAGGCAAATGGCACACGACAGACTCCAGCAACCGCGCCCACTGAGCTACGTCCGCCCTCCCTCCGCGGGCCGCCACTCCCGGCTCCCACCCCGTGTCCCTCCCCCATTCTGTCGGGTCCTTGGGACCTGGCCTTGGGGGTGCAGTTGGGGCCACTGCCCCACCGAGCTCTGTCTCATCACCAGCAGAGGTCCAAGGAGGAATCAGTGCACCCGAGGTCGGGAAGTGACCTCCAGGCCCAGACAGGAGGCCCAGAAGGGGACAGTGGGCTGCTGGCCTTCCTAGCCAGGTCCTGGTTTTGCTGACCATCGACCAGGAGGCTTGCCGTCCATCCACGAGAGGCTCCATCCCAGGACTTGGGAAGATTGAGGTCTTGGGAGAATTGTCCAGGGTCCCGGAAAACCACCAAAGGCTGCTCCCTGCGGCACTGTGGCCAGTCACGCGGGTTCCAAAGACAGACCAGACCGAGGCCTGGAGCAGCGGAGCCACCTGGGAGAGGCACAGCGAGTCAGGACAAGGGCACAGCCTCCATCCCTAGCCCCCCACATCCTCCCAACCTAACCCCACAGCTGAGGGGGGAGGCCTTCAGAGGGCCCGTGTCTCCTCCTGTGCCCCCAACACCTAGGCAGGGTGGGGGTGAGGGCTCAGGACACGACTAACTTTCAGAAGAAACAGGACTAGAAAACGATGAAAACCATGGATGGCCCACTTCAACAGGGCTAACTCAGAGGGTATAAAAGCTCTGGTACCCCCAAGCCAGCCCCGTGGGTACCATGGAAGGCGGCGCAAGGGTTCCGGTGGGCAAAAGGGCCTTCAGAATCCTTGGGGGGCATGGATTCCTTTTACAGCATTCCCACCAAGGAGACCTCTTCATCACCCTCCCAAAATACTCACCACACACGCATGCATACCTCCCAAGACGGGGAGCTCACTCCCTTGCTGAGACTGTGATAAGGCACATTCTGACGGATGATCTGAGGACAGAACCACGTCTCCCATGTTCACCTCTGGATCCTCAGGCTGGGAGAAGGGCTTGGTCCGTGTTCATGCTGAACGAAGGAAGGTGCTGAAATCGCTGCCCCCAACCCACCCTGACCCCCACCAAGACCACACAGAACAAGCCTCCAACCACCTGGCTCCCAGGCCTTCTTCTCGCGAGCTCAAGTGTCCGGCCAAGCCCACACCTGGGGAGGGTGCTGGGTGAGGGAACAATCTCCACACCACGAAATGAGTTCAGTGGGCCCTCCCTACCCAACGCCTACCCAGGCTTACCTGGCAGCGTCCACGCAACACGTCGGCAGCCCGGGCCCAGCTCCCGGCTCCCGCATAGACCCCCACGGGCCCATCCTGGAAGACAAAAGAACCAACCACACTGCAGGAGAAAACCGCAGCCAGGCCCCTCCCCAGCCCCAGGCCTGGGCAGGATTCTCTGCTAACAAGAAGAGGGTTAACAGAGAGGCTGATCCCAAGCACACCACCCGCCACCTCCCTCCCTGCTCCATGGAATGTCCTCCACCCACCTCCCTGGTCCCCCCAATAGCAGCAGGGGACCCAGGAAGAGCTGAACAGAGTCAGGGGTCGGAGCTCTGGTCCCAGCTCTGCCATGCTGTCGCCCGGAGAGTCTGTCCGTCCTTCTGGGCCATGGATCCTCCCAGCCCGGACAGTCACCCAGGGTCACAGTAGTAACCCCCAGTTTGAGGCAGTGGGTGGGAAAGGACAGGGCCCTGTGCTCAGCCACAGTTACTTTTCTGCTCCCCTCAAATGCCCACTAATTCTGACCCGAACCATCTCGCAGGTTTGGCTTTTGGTGGCAGCTAAGCTGCCTTCACGACTGGCAGACCTGGGCCAGGAGAGTCGGTGGCGCTCCAAGCATATTTTCAGAGCGTGCTGTCAGCACCCAGGACTTGGGGCAAGAGACCAGGACTTGGGCAGGGGTACTTGGCCCCTGGCACTGAGAGAATGTGCCCTCCAGGCCTGGTGCTCAGATCCCCGATCAAGGAGCCCTGGCCGAGGTGTACAGAGGTGACGACCCAGGGCCGGGAAGAGTCGGGCCAGTCCGAATCCCCCGGAGAGCGGCTCCACCAGCCCTCAGGATGAGGCCACTCAACTCGGCTCCTCTGAAGTCCCCGATGGTGGAGTCTATAAAATACCAGCCTTCACGCCAAAAGGGGAGCGTGAAAATCACCCTTTGTGGGGCCCCCGAAAGTGGGGACAGGCGCCTTCTTTGCGGCATCGAGGTAGAGAAGTGAATGAGCTACATTCCCAATGTCCCCTCCCACCGGGGACTCCGGGATGTGACACTTTCCGCACAGACGAGGAAACATCGGCGGCGAGCTGGTAAGTTTGAATACTTATCTGCAAGGCTGCTTCCCCATGTGGTCATGACTGTCCCGAGGCACTCAGATCCCCTCCTCACACTTCTGTCCCAGGATCTGCTGTGGTCTGGAAAGAGACCCTCAGAGGAGCATTGTGTGACCACAAAGACCCTTTCTCCTGGCCCCTCTGTGCCCAGGGTCCCGATGTCAATAAGGCAATGAAGCTTTCAAGGGCAACGTCAGCTCCTAGCTCGAGCTGACAGCTGTGTAGGATGGCAGAGAGGAAGGCTTTGAGGTCAGACCAACATGGATGAGACTACATGTTCCCCAACCCCAGGTGTCCAGTAGGTGACTCAGAGTTCATTCCCAGGCTAAGCCAGCGCCCGGCTCGCAGTAAGTGTCCCAGAAATTACTTTCACCAGCTAATGATTCCAACTTTGAGTAAGTCTTTGTGGAATACTGATGTCCAGAAATATGGGCCCTATTTTTCCTGTGGTGTATACACCCAGTTAGGAAGCCCCGATCTCATTCAAACCCCGTCTTGGTGATTGGATAAGCCAACCGTAGGACACTCATCTAATGAAATCTCCTCAGCAGTAACAAGGGACAAACTGTTGGTTCGTTACTGTACTACAGTATGCGTGAACCTCGCAAATACTACACGGAGTAAATGGAGCCAGGTGCAAGGGGCCCCACGCTGGACGATCCCATTTCTGTGAAATGTCCAGAGAAGGCAAACCTGTGGAGACAGAAGGGAGATCAGTGATTGCCTGGGATCCGGGTGGGGTGGACATTAACAGTGGTTGGGTAGGAGGGTTCTTCCTCTGGCAAAGGAAACGCGCTAACCCTGATCTCTGGTGCTGGGCGCCTGAAGTGGTAAATTCACTAAACATCACGCCGTTGTGCCCTTGAGGTGCGTGAGTTAGATGATATTGAAATGGCACCTCCATGGAGTTACACTAAAAAGAATAGAACCACTGAATGCGTGCAAAAGCAAACACAAACCTCAAAAACATTATGCTGAGCCAAAAAAAAACCCAAACACGAAAGTTTCCATATTAGTGGCACTTTCGAATTAACAATCTTATCTATAGGCATAGAAAGCCGATCAGTGGTTTCCTGTGATTGGGGCTGGGAGGGGACTGACGGGGACGTTTTAGGGTGATAAAATGTTTCAGATCTTGCTTGCCATGGTGGTTACATAAGCGTGTGCATTTATGAAAACATTGAAATGTAGGCTGTAAATGGGTGCGTTTCATTGTGTGTAAACTATGCCTCGATAAAGTTATTTTTTCAAAACTCGTGTAGAGGTGATGACAGAGGACAAAAACCAAGAAGGGCTGAATGAAAGGCTCCCCAGAGACCTGGTGGGGGGGCCCCGGGGCCCCAGCATCTCAGCACCTACGAGACCACATGACCCACCCCCCCTACTCCAAGCCAATGTCAGGTGCCCCATCCAGAAAGCTTTGATTAAGAGACTGGACCCCAGAGATCCTAGAGGTCCCTCTTACCTCTGAGAGTCAGGTCTCAGCACACACGGATTTCCTGGTGGCCCTGAGGACACAGCCTGATGTTGGTCTCTGCTGCCCCGTGGGCGCACAGAGGACAGGAGAGGTCATCTTGGCTACTCCGTTGATGCTGTGAAGGTCATGGTGGCCTAATGAACGCGTCTGGAACTGCATGATGGGCAGGGAGACGCCTCCACCTGTCATCAGGAGAGAGAGAGAAGGGTCGGGGAATAAATAGTTACCCACGGGCACGCTGGAGAATAGGCACCAGGGTCCTGTCTGAAATCACAGCCTGCACCAAAAACCAAAAACCAGTCTCTTCGGATGCAGATCAGAAGCCAGACAAGAACCTGGGAGGTATCTGGGTCGGGCCAGTGCCAATCAAACATCCTAACACTGGGAAGGGCAGGGGCTTCGCCGCATAGATCCCTGTCCTGCTCTGTCCCTGCAAGGGCATCACCCCTCTGGGCCTGGTTCCTTATCTGCAGCCTGGAAACAGTGCCTGCCTCCCGGGGCTGTTGTGAGGATTAAGTGATACGACGAACGTTCCCTATCTGCTCACCTTCTGTTACTACTACCCTCGTCCACTCTGCTCATTACCACCACCCATGGCTACTCACTCCCCCGAGCTCCGCGCGCCGTCCCTGGGCACGAGGGAGCAGCTGCCAGGAAAACATGCAGCTGGTGCGTTTTCGGTCCCTCTGGGTTTGGGGTGTTTTCCTGACGCCCAGAGAGCAGAGGCACAGGGGAACAGTTGGCCTACATTGCCTCGGATGAGTGAGTGCCGAGAAGGAGGCACACTCCTGGGCAGAACACGCGGTGCGGGCCACGCGGGGGACAGAGGATTCGCACAGGAGCCCAGCCCACTGTCCCTGGACCGAGTCAAACTACGTGCGCAAACAAGGAGCTTCGGGGTTCAAATCTCCCTCACACAAGGGAACCTCCGAGCTCTGGGGCAGGAAAGAAAAGAGAACGCAAGAAGGAGGGGAAGGAAGGTAAGCTAACATTGCCTGAGGACAGACACTAATTGGGGGCACCTTTATCGACCTGACAAAACAAGAGTTGGGTTTTAGCCCTGGCAGGGTGGCTCGGTTGGTTGGAGTGTCATCCACACGAGAAAAAGTCAAGGGTTCGATTCCCGGTCAGGGCACATACCTAGGATTGGGGTTTGTGATTCCCTGTGGGGTGTGTACAGGAGGCAACCTCTCGATGCTTCTCACATCGATGTTTCTCTCTCTCTCCCTTCCTCTCTCTCTCCCTTCCTCTCTCTAAAATCAATAAACATATCCTCGAGGGAGGGGAAAAAAGAGTTGGGTTTTATCGTCCCCATTCTACAGATGAGGAAACTGAGGCACAGGGTAAAGTGACTTGCTCCAGGATCACCCAGAGAGAAAATGGTGCAAATGGATTCTAAACAGGCCTGTGGAACCCCAAAGGGGCAGAAGACTTCTGTTCAAATGTGGGGGGTGGGGATGAACGAGAAAAGACCCGAGGAAGGTATGTGTAAATGCCAGCACTGTGGTCGTCAGCATTGCTATGGCTGTAAAGAAACTGGACCCCGATGGTTAACCATCTCGGATCCGTTTACTAGCTGCTGTGGTCTTGAGGCAATGAGGTTCACTTTCAGGAGAGGCGGTATCGCGGTGTAGTAGTTACAAACACACGTTTCAGATCCAAGTTCAAATCCTGACTCTACAATGAACTTGCTGTGTGACCCTGAGTTAGTCACTTCACCTCTCTGAGCCTCAGTTTCTCATCTGTAATGCCCAACCCCCAGCCTTATCCTGGGGTCTCCGCGAGGCAGCGTCCAGCAGGAACCTTGGTAAATGGTTACTAAATGGTGACTAGAGTTGGTTACCATTGGCGACCTACTCCACACCTGCAGCACACAATAGTTCAGCCCCGCCCGCCCTCTCATGACTCATTCAGTAGCCTTCAGAGGGGCCCACCTGGCACCACAAGGGAGGAGACACCTGCTTCATCTGATCCAATCAGCCAACAGGAGGATAGGGAGACAGATGTCACCCTCAGCCGCCCTGTGCCCCTGGCCCTGAGTATCTGGAGCTATTGTCCCGGAGGTCCAGCTGACAGATGAGGCAGGCTGCAGACAAGAAGACGGGGCTCCTAGGAACAAAGGACCCTGCTATAAGTAATTCACCAGCCCATTGAACTTGCACAATGGACCCAGTGCTCCAGAAACACTGCCACTCAAACAGCCCGAGGATCACCCCGAAAAACCAACAGCCCAATACAAACAAAAGCAAAAATAATTAAGTACCTACACAAGACTCGGGGGCCATAAGTGAACTCAGCCTCTACACAGTGATGCATTACAGCAGCAACGTCCTTATTGAGCACCTACTGTGTGTCAGGCATTTTACACACACTGGTTCACAGCCTCACACCAGCCTTTTAAAGCAGGGACCCCGGTTCCCGCTTTACAGGTGAGGAGACTGAGGCTAAGAGGAGGGAAATCCCTTCCTTACTGAAGCCAGCACAGAGAGTGGGTGGAGGGGAGAGTGCAGCCCCCAATCCTTCCCCTTCCCACCACAGCACTGCCTCAGCGAGTGATCGATCCAAAGAGCAGAATCCTGCCCTGGGTGGAAGCATGGATGAGGTCCAGAGAAAGAAACTTTAAAATAAAGGGGGAAAAGGAAGCAACTCCAAGGTCCCACAACAGGGACCAAGCAGAGCGAGCATGCCCGTGGACTTCAGGCAACACCAACCCTCTCACAACGATCCCTGCAAAGGGTGGAAAACACGGGGCAGCTCATCCGATGTAACTCTTTAAAAGCAGGGTACTTGCAGCGCGATTTCCACTAGTATCTTCAGAAACAGAAACAGATGCCAGAAGAAAAGACATGAAAATGGTCGATACAGAAGTTATTCTTGGGTAATGAAACTATGGAGTTGTTTTCCTTCCCAGCCCCACCCCCCAAATCATCTACAATCATCATGCATTTTATTAAATGTATGAAATTAGTAAAGGTCACCAAAAATGATAAAGTTGTCCTTTTTGAAGGAGGCATAGAGACTGATCCTTCTAAGGCTGGTGGTAAGGAGTTCGGTGAAGCCTCCAGCTCTCTTCCCCCATTAGAACGCGGAGCGAGAGGTCAAAAATACAGGAATAATGATGTAGGGTAGATTTCAGAATCTTCCTCAGTGGCAACGGTCATTAAATTATAAAACAAGCGGGCCTTGGGGGCATCGGGATGTTACCCTTAAAATTCTTTCAACCGGAACTGAACTGAACTGGGGTCTGGGCCGGGTTCAGTGCCGCTCAAAGCTTGCTGCTGGCAACGTGTCTCCGAGGACACCATTTTGCCCAGATTGCTACATGGTTCTGGGCAGGGGTGAGGGGACAGTTCAGGGGGCTGTTCTCTCATCTGATGGTCCGACCACCTGCAGGAGGAGAGGGAGGCGGGGGTCTCAGTACAACACACAGATGCCCAGCCCCACCCAATCCTGCTGACTCATCCCCTGGCCACGTGGCCGGGACGTCTGCGTATCTGAAGCACCGCCCCTGGAGTCTGAGCCCACTGTCCTCAGGTTTCCCTGTCGGTCAAGTGGAATTACTCATCCCTAGCCCCCAGCCCCCAGCCCCCACCCCGGGCCGGGCGACCGCGGAGCCCCCAGGCGCTCCCAAATGGGAATGTGCTTTGGAAAGTACAGCGCTGCGCCCCAGGGCGCGCTCGGTCTGAGGCTGGCACCCACAAACACAAAGCCGCGTCCCGCACTTGATCTCGCCTTTCTCTCCCCGTCCTCCCCGCACGACTGCCTCCTCCCTCCTTCCCCAGCAGCAGGTGGGGACGTTTTCCCCGCCGCGACACTGCAGTGAGGTGTGCACGCCAGCAGCACCGGCGCCCGGCAGCCACTGGTGGGCTGGAGCCTGGGCTGAGGGGGGATCCAGGCTCCCGGGCCTCCCCCTGCACCGTCTAAGAAGCATGTCTGTAGCTCATGGCCCTCTGCGGGGTTGGGAGGAGAGATCTGCCCCCTCCCCGTCCAATTCCCAGCCTCTCGGGAGAGTGTATTGGAGAGTAGAAGAGGTGGAAAGGGAGCTGGTGGGTTCTGAGGTTTCCTCAGCCCCATTTGGGGATGTAACCTGGGCTTTAGAGTCCAACATATCTGGATTCAAAATCACTGGCTGTGTGACCTTGGACGCGTTCCTCACCCTCTCTGGATCTCAATTCCCTCATCCTTAAAATGGGGTTCTTACCACCTCGCGGGACTATTGTGATAACGCACGCAAAGCCCTGAGCGTGTTGTCGGCATGGCGTAAGCTCTGCAGAAATCGATGTGTTGTTACCGTTATCAATGTCATTATTCTCCCCGAAGGTGGTTTTCTGGCATCCCCACCCCGTTGGAGCCACACACAGGACGCTGGACATCTGGAACTGGAGTCCCAGAAGTGAAGCATTGGCAAGCGCCATTGGGGGATGGATGTCTCAGGATGAGGGAAGGGGGCTCCGGGACCCCGCTCCACCAACCCACCTCTACCCCCAGGTTTGAGACCCTTGGGCTCTGTCCAAGATTTGGCCAGTTAACGGCTAACCTGGTGAGCGGAAAGGGTCCGGGGTCCCCTGATGTCTGTCTGATAGTGGGGGGAGAGGAGGGTCTTTGTTCCCCATCCTCCCTGGACTCGCAGCGCATCCTCCCGTTTTCCTTCCCCGTGCCCCACCCAAGCCGGCGTCTTGGCTGCATTTGACAACTGCAGGCTGGAGGGAGAGGCTCTTCATCCATCAAATCAGGGCACTTCGGGCAGTGTTTGCCGTCCCCTGAACCCCGCCTGGGACCCTGGGACCTACCCTCAGGGAATTAGGCTGCTCCTGGCGCGGGAACAGGGATGCTTGGGAAGGGGTGGCGGTGAGGATGGGGCGGCGGCTTACCTCGGGTCGGCAGTCCTGCGGCGCGAGTGCAGAGGGCTCTTTGTGCCCAGGCTCACAGCGCAGAACTGGGGGAGCCCCTGCAAGCGCCTCCCATCGCAAACTCCTCCCCGCACTCGTCCGCAGCCTCCCTCCCTCTGGTCCCCCGAGCGCAGCCGGCGTCGTCTTTGTAGCTGCTGCAGCGCCCAAGAAATTTTAATGCGGGAGCGTCTGGCAGGCGGAGGCGCCCCACCCCCGGCCCTCGCCTCGGCCTTCCTCCCTCCTCCCCAGCCCCTGACATACCACACCCTACCCTCTATCTCCTCCCGGGGGTCCGGGCCAGGAAGGCAGGGTGCGGCACAGAGTGGGGGGAGCACACCGCCACCCCCACCGCACAAAGGGACGAGCCCAGCGGCGCGCTCAGCCTTCAGCATCCCGGCCCGTGGCGCTGCCATGGCAACGCTCACCCGGCTGGACTGGGCCGCGGAGCGCGCGGAGACCAAGCGGGGCGCGTGCGGTGCACGACCAGACCAGGGACCCCCGAGAGCAGACGCTTGGACTCCGGCTTACGAGGACGAAGAGGCTGGCCCAGGAGCACCAGCTGCTGAACCCGCACAGCCTCGGTGTGTGCCTCTCAGTTAACCCTGCTAGATTGGCACGTGCTTACGTGGAGTCAACATCTGAACCCAAGTCTGTCTTCACGCCCATGTTCGTGCCACTACCTCGCTTGGCCTAACTTTTCTAAATCTGGTCTTTTTTTTTTTTTTTTTTTAACTTCTCACTCCTTAGTACCTACTGCTTTCTAGATCAGTGATGCTAGACAGTGGTCCTAGGCCAGCTGCGTCAACATCCCTTGGGAACTTGTTAGAAATGTGAATTCTGAGGCCTCACCATAGCGCTACCGGATCAAAATCTCTGCGTGGGGCCCAGAGGACTGTTGGCACAAGCCCTCCAGGATGGTCCGAGGCACATTCAAGCTTGAGGACGGCTGCTCTAGGCCATTCCAGTGGCCTCTGTGACCAGAATGTCCTGGGTTTAAAGGTCAGCTCTGTCCATGCCCCTTAGCCGCTGACCTTGGACAAGCTTCGCACCCTTCCTGAGATGCAGCTTCCTAGTCCGTGAAGTGTATTTAATATTAGAATCCCCCAGTTGGGGTTGTGTGGGTCAAATGAGAAAATGCATGCTGGGGGAGGGGTGCCTGGCATGGAGTGAGGACTCCAAAGCGTCTTATTAAACTGTTCTCTCTAATTTCCACATTCCTGCGTACTTACTTAGCACCTGCACACCTCAGATAAGAACACGAAGGCTCAGAGAGGCGATGAGAGCTGCCCGCCAGGGGACCCAGGGGATTTGAACCCACCATTTCAGGTTCCAAGTTTACTAGCTATCCTCTTTACTGCTCGTCTCTGGCTGGGATCCACAACTTCGATCTTCAGAAAACCCAAACCCAATTCATCAAACCAATAGCTCATTTCCAATGAGCCCGGCCCAAGGCTATTGCAGGAACCCTGAAGGTCCAGGGAGGTCCCAGACACAGCTTCCACCCTGGCAGAGCCAGTGGTTCTAGAAGACCCACGTGGGACGATTAGAGAAAAGGCAACACGGGGTGAGGCCATAGCACTGGCCAGAGGACACAGCCAAACTGTTGTCATCACCGGGTCTATGACTTTCCCCTGGATCACCAGACCACACACAAAAGAGGAAATGGATCTGGTGTGACATGTTCTCAATGAAACCAGGGTGTGCACAGGGATCGCCCTTTCTTTTCAAGCATTCCCAAGCCACCTGTTTCATAATCTGCTCCCTAATCCCCTCGAGTACCAGCCTATCGTTTCCAATATCCGTTTGGAAAAACATCAAGCACTTGCCAGCTCCCAGTGTTCAACATTTCTTCTGTTCCCTGGGGCTCCTCAAAGATGAACAACGAGTACACGGTCCTATTTCTAAGTGTCTTGGTTCTAGGGACATCATTTCAAGGAGAGCAGCAGGGTGAAGGAGGGGGGCAATGAGATGATTATTAGATGCTCCTGCGGGCTCCCTGCAGAGAGACCACATCTAGCTCAGGTGGATTCAGAGTGAGCCTTAAACTGAGTCACGCAAGGAGGGGCCAGACCCCAGATCCAACAGATACCAAAGCCAGCGCCGTCCTGCCTGCTCCCCTGGCCCTGGTTCTCTAGCACGGCACATTTTTGATCATGGGTAGCCCAAACTGGCAGTGCCAAGGGATTCAGTTGGTCCTTTGCCTTCCTTCCATTTATCTGCTGAGTACCCCTGCAGTGAGCAAAATCTTCCCTAGCATCCTCCTGGGCAGGGTTAGAGACCGGCAGAGCCTGCTTCCTCTCCTGTTGGCGCTGGGCACGACCACCACCTCCTTTGGGATCCACATCTAGCTTGACACCTAGAGCTGGCATGCTTCTTGTTTCCCATCGATGGCACTCTGACCCCCACCTGCTCCTGCGGGGAGACCCAGGACATTGCAGAGCACACCCACGGCGGTAAACGTTACCCTCCCCACAACTGGCCAGTCGTCTGCAGGTGACATTTACGGGGCTGACTTGCGCCCCAAGAGCCCACTCGCCAATACGAGTAGCAGATGGAACCCCCAAAGAGAAGCGTCAATGCTCTCTTCTGTCTCTCTTGAAAATGGCCTGAACCACTTCTGATGGAGTGTCCGTTGCCATGGCAACAGGAGGAGGGGCCATCATATTGAAGATCCACTTCTGAATCAAGTTTGCCACTTTAAACTGGACCAGGTGGTTACCTCACACAGCTTCAGGGATCTGCAAGCTACATAGCCTGGCTCATGACACCTCCCAGCAGCCCATGATTTCCAGGGGGATTCTGACCCTGGTAACATGTCCAGGAGAGGGGACCCAGGCGTCTTTCTCCCGAAAACATCCCCTGGAAAAATGCAGGTGGCCCAAACAGTCAGGGCTCCAGATGCAACTCTGTCATCAGCTGCCTGGGTGCCACCGAGCTCTGATTTTTTAATTGGTTTTTTGAAGTGAACTTCACATAATGTAAAACTAACCACTTCAAAGTGAACAATTTGGTGGCATTTAGCAGATTCATCATGTTGTGTAATCCCTGCATCTATCTAGTTCCCAAACATGCTCATCGCCCCAAAATAATACCCCACACCCTGTGCAGTTACTTCCCTTCTCCCCTCCCGCCGGCCCCTGGCATCCACAACTTTTTCTGTCTCTGTCTGCCTGTTCTGGTGATTTCCTGTCAATGGAGGCCTGCAATATGGGTCCTGGTGGCGCTGGCTTGTTTCACTGGGCGCAGTGTTCTGGGGGCTTATGCACGCTGCAGCCGGCAGCAGGGCTCCGTTCCTCTCCATGGCTGGGGGACAGTCCACCGTGCGATGTAGCAGTCTGTTTGTCCACTCACCCACGGATGGACGGACCTTGGCGTAGTTTCGGCCTTCGGGCTGTTGTGAATAACACTGTTGTGAAATGCGTGCATGTGGATTCGTCCATGTTTTCTATTGGGGGAAGGGAGCATATACCTCTCTGTGCCTCTTTTCCTTTCATACTCCCCAGTGAGCCTAGCCAAGGGTTCCAGTGGAGGGGCAGGGGGGCTTTTCCACCTTGGGACCTAAACTAGTCACACAGACACACACCCCTCAGTGCCACCCCTCTGCCTGGCCGGGTCTGCCACAGCCCCTGGAAGGGCTCTGGGAAGAGCCAGCTGTCTGCCCTCCAGCATGTTATTGGTGGAGACCGTGCACCCTCAGGGCAGCAGGGCGGCACCTCTCCCACGCGGTTTCCCCGACAGGTTTCACCCCGATCAAAAGTTTCACTTTGACTCATGCAAGCAGCCATCCCTGCCCCGGGGTGAGGGTGCGGCTCGCTGAATTCAGGGGGAGCTATCTGTACAACCGAGGAGAATGGGGTTTGGCGTGCTCCCCCGAAAAATATGCCTTTCAAGAACTTCCAGTAGCTACAAAATGCCCCTGTAATCACCTTCAGCTGGAAGGAACTTGACCCTTACTTGACACTGTTCCAAGGGCGTTACCCACAGGCACCCTCTGGAGAGTGTCAATGTCACCTCCAGCTGACAGCTAAGGAAAGTGAGGCTCAGAGAGGGGGAGGGCTTACCCCGTCAGCCAGCCAGAAAGCGGGAGGCTCAAACCAGCGCCGTCTGCTTCCTGAAGCTGCCCTCAAAGCTCTGAAAACCTGTCGCCCTAGGAAAGGGGCACAGCCCCACAGCAGCTGGACAATGACCCTGCGACCTCTCTGGGCATGCCCATGGCAGCTCATCTCTGCCCCAGTCCGGAGGGACGTCACTGGTTCCGGGTCGTGGCCATGCACGAGCACCGACTGGTGTTCTCCAGCGCCTTATCTCGGCCCTGCCCGCCGTGGCCGCCTTCACGCGTGAAGGCCGGCAGCCCCTCTAGCTGAGGCCCAGACAGGAGCGCTAGCCCAGGGCAGCCCACGTGCAGGCCTGAGACGGATTCAGGTGCAAGAGGTTTACTTGGCAAGTGATCCCCGGAAGCAATGATAACGAAGTAGAGCAGGAAGACAGGGAAGAGAAGAGTCGGAATAGGAGCACTACTGAGTACACTGGTCGGACAGGGTGGCTTAACGGGAATCTGTTCTCACAGTCCCGGAGGCTGGAGGTCCCAGATCAAGGTGCCAGCAGGGCTGGTTTCTCCTGAGGCCGCTCTCCTTAGCTTGCAGACGGCCACCTTCTCACCGTGTCCTCACACGTCCCCCCTCTATGAGCGCACCCTGGTGTCTCTTCCCCTTCTTGTAAGGACCCCAGTTCTGTTGGGTCAGGGCCCACCCCGTGACCCCATTTAACCTCCGTAAAGACCCTATCTCCAAATAAAGTCATGTTGGGGAGCTTGGGCTTCAACATATGAGGGTCAGAGGGACACAGTTCAGTCTATAACAATGAACATGCTGTGTGGACAACCAGAACTCAGTCCTGCTGAGGTTCTCTGGGACACTGTGTGGGACACACCGGAGTTATCCCACCTGAGGTCAAGGAAGCCGGGGTACTTACACACCAACTCTTATATGTCATAGTTGAAGGATGCTCCTTACACATCATTCCCTCGCCACCCCCAGGCACCCCCAGGTCCCTCAGGAGCAGAGCAAATGCATGC